CCCCTTACCCTCTCTCCTATCCTTCTCTTCCCATCTTTCTTCTCCCTTCTGTTTCCCACTCTTCCTCTCATTGGTGTATCCAACCAACACTGATGATTGTCGATATCAGCAGAAGCAAGAAGTATTACCTTGCTGCAAAATGAAAAGATACCACCCAGATAGAGCTAAAACTAAACCTGCTGCCTTTTGTGGCAACCATCAATGTTAACATTTATTTGATCTTCATTGATCTCTTCTGCTAAACATGGTTTTCCCTTCTTTTAATTAATAAAAAAAATGCATCAGAGTATTAAACGGTATGGGAAGGTTAAGCTATTTTGGGAATAAAAGGCTATATGTGGCATCTCAACTGTTTATTTCCCAGTACAATTTATATATTCACTGTATCATAACATTTGATTCCAATGATATGAATGTTAGTGTTTTACCAACATGGTATAAAAAGTTACAATTTTTACTTCATTTTTCTTTTGTTTTGATTTTATAGCGAAAGCATGGATACAGATAAGGATGATCAACATGGAAGGTATTTATTTGTTCACCGTTGACAAATTGATTGGATTTTTGGAAAACCTTTTTTTTTTCTTTAAAAAGAACTTTTCCAAAAGTATAACGTTTTGATTATTCTGAAGCAAGAGATAAAAGGATGGTTCTGCTCCACGTGGACTATAGTTAGGATCTCTGGGAATCTAGGAATGTTCAAGGGACCACAAATGGATTAATATTACTGGAGTGTCAGATCCTAATAGAATACCCAATGAGAAAGAAATGGTAATGTTGATGAGAGAATGCACATAGTGATCCTTCTGAAACTGAAAGAACGTCAGTGACATTGCATACTGCCACGTACTCAGTGAGGCTTTGGGTATCACTTTCTTTGATGCCTTCTTTCTCCTGCTGCATTATAAATAGAGGGCTACTATCAAATCTAACTTCTGTCCCTTTGCTTCCACTAGGTTGGAATATACAGACCAACAGGGCAGAATAAAAAATGCAAGGTAAGGTAATAACAATCTTTATAGTTAATGGTTGCGATAAATGCAGATCTTTTAGATGTATTCCTAAATGGAGTTGCATGCTTTTTTTATTGCAACATTTTTACATTCATCAGTACTAATTTATATTTTTAGACAATATGAGACTATATTACTCTACTTAGGGGGGAAACCCCCCTACTCTATTTGCATTTGTTTATTGGGCACAGCAGTCTTCAGTCATCAGATCTTAAATTAGCTTGCATTGGCAATCTATTTTGCAACTAGCCCCCTGAATTGTGTCTAATCATTAGATGGCAGTTTTAAAATATATTTTTTAAATCTGAAATAAAAATTAAATTAACCATGAAAAATAAGTCACAATTTAAAAATTTGATTTATACAAATAATGGTGGCCACAATTTGCCATTAATGTTCCTCTTGCAGTATATACTATCTGCTCTTGATTAGTTGAGAATGCTGTGGGAAACCAGAGTTATCCAAGGCTTATTTTTCACTATGTAATTTGTTTCAGACTTGATGAAACTTTTGAGCCCAATTTTATTTATTTATTTATTTATTTATTTATTTATGTGTATTAGCTTCTCAACTCCAATGGGCAGCTAATAAATTAAATATTTATGTATAAAAGACTGCAGCTATTCATAATCATGTCCTGCAAATGCTATAGATAAGAGTTGAATTATAACAGTGGGGGTACTGAAAGTGTCATGATTTTTATTTCATAATTGCTTAGAGAGGCTCACAGTCAGATTGAAAAACGGCGGCGTGACAAGATGAACAGCTTTATTGATGAATTGGCTTCTTTAGTGCCAACATGCAACGCTATGTCCAGAAAGCTAGATAAACTTACTGTTCTGAGAATGGCGGTTCAGCACATGAAGACTTTACGAGGTAAATTTGAAATAAATGTTTAAATAGAATGATTCCATATATGGATTTTAGGTATTGAGAAATTTGTGAGTGCTTTTGTGTAATCAAAGCACTTTGGATAGTATTTACAGCAAGGAGAGTCAGCATTAGTCTTCCCTCTTGTAAAAATCTTCTGGGAGAATGGTGGCATGCCTAAAGATAGCAAAAGATAGTTTGTGACTGAGAAAATATTCTTAGCTGCTGTTCCCCCCCCCCCCCGTTTCAGATTAGCTAGTAATAGTTTTCTATTGCCGAAAGGTACAAAATAAATATGACAGTTGATCATGGTATTGTATACGTGGTTTCAAACTAAACATATTAAAATATAACTTGGTGTTTTCTGAAAAAAACATCAAATTTATTTTAGAATTTCAAGCAGAGGATACTGAAAATAGCTGTATGCACAGGAGTTTAACTCATGTTCCACATAATACGATAGATTGTTTACTTAAAATATTTTTCCTTTGCCTTAAGGTGCTACAAATCCATACACTGAGGCAAACTACAAACCCACTTTTCTCTCAGACGATGAATTAAAGCATCTGATTCTTAGGGTATGTATAAGCTTTAGCTACATGAATTTGTATAAGGGGTGATGAAAGAGAAGGTTTTCTTTTACCAGACACACTGACTGCAGTTTCTTTTAAAGTAACAGGTGGATGCTCTAAGCCAGGGGTATCAAACTGGATTTACTCAAGGGCCAGATCAGCATTGTCGTTCTCTGCTGGCCTGGGGGGTGGGGGGAAAGATGGGACGGACACCTCCTGCACCACCCTGCTGGCCAAAACGGGGTGCATGTGGCCCTCTCAGCCCTGTTTTTGGCTGGAACAGCCTCCTGCAGCACTTTACTGGCCAAAAAGAGGTGCCTCCCTCGTGCTTTGTTTTCGCTCTCCATAGCCTCCTGAAGCACTCTGCCGGCTGGAAACAGGCTGTTTTTTGGTCTCCCCGGCCTCCAGCAGCACTCTGCTGGACAAAGACGGGCCTTGGGAGGCCTCCACATAGCCTGTTTTTTGGCTGGCAGAGTGCTGCAGGAGGCTAAAATTGGACTGTGCAGAGGCTGCATATGGACCATTTTAGCCGGCAGAATCCCCACAGGCCGGTCCTTTGATATTTCCAAACCTTGGTCCACTTTTTACTGGTTGTCTTGTCGGGGCAAATTATTTAGAATTGGTTTTCGAATTGCTCACTGGGGCAAGCAAAGTAATCCTATTTGAAGTGCTGTGTCAGTTAAATTTAACAGATTCTGAATTATTTGATACTTTTTAACCTCTGCTGTGCTGTACACATCTTCAAATGATTTGAAACGAGTGCTTTAGAACAGATGATAATACAGCACCTCTTCTCTACTCGTTAACAAGGAATCTTAATACTTTGATGTGTAGTAGAATAGATGCTGCACTTGCCCTAGTTCCAAAACACCGCTTTGAACCCTTTTTCAAAGTGTGCATCAATGTTCTATTTCCAAGTTATTTTATTGGCTACTAATTTAAAGTCCCACATTACTGTAAAATCTTCAGTGCTCTTGTTATAGCATGTCAGTGTAAATATAGTTGTTTTTTTTTAACATCATAAACAAAGGTGCACAGCAGCCATCCTCAAAGATTAAGGCAGCCAAACACACAGAGGTCATATTGGATCCTTGAATTGACCTAACACTAATAATACATTGATTGCATTTTATAGATAGTCCTTTACTTATGACCGGTCATTTAGCGACTGTTCAAAGTTACGATGGATTTCTCCAGGGCTACTAACAAACTGGATTCGAAGTTCTTTTTTTTTAATAAAGATTTTTTTTATTTTTGAATAAACACAAACAGACAAAATGCACAGACAAAAAAAACCAAAAAACACAAAACTATCTTCCATTACAAATTGTAGAAAGTGTGTCGATTGGTTACAAAAACTTCTGTGCATCCCTTCCACAGTCATCACCTACAATTCATATCAAATCATATATTTTAAATCAAATATATTTATATATATTACTATCATCATATCTCAATCTTCATTTGACTATAATTGCTTTTACGTCCTTTTATATAAAATATTCCAGATTTAAAGCAAAACCATATAAAACCATTAGCTCTTCCCAATATCATCCAGTAACATTACATCTTTATAGCATGTTCTAAATAAAAATTGGTTATATTTAATAACAGATTCGAAATTCTGATGGCCATGTTCCCACCCGACAGTCATATGATCGTATTTTGGGCACTTGGCAGTTAGCCTGCATTTATAGATGTTTGCAGCATCTTGTAGTCATGTGACCATGAGTTACAATGATTTTTACTGGAAACTGGCATTTACCTCCAATTTCTAGCAAAAAAACAGCCATTGTGGACAATAGATTTGCATAATGACCGTGGTGATTCATTCAACAACTGCAGCAAAAAAGGCCATAAAATCAGGTTGTCATCATGGTGATTCACTTAATGGCCAGCATAACTTGCAACCCTAATTCCAAGCTTAATTTACAGTCCTAAATTGAGAATTACCTGTATTTTGTTTTCATATGACCAGTATTGCTGTCTTTTCTTTCTAAAGGGGTAAGCACCTTTCACTCTGTAATGGAAGCTTGGTCAGCTCTTCCTAAAAGGATATCCTTGAGATGATCTGTTGAACTATCATATTCCTTAGCCAGTCAGCTCAATGACTTTGCTGACTGTTATTGTATTAAAATACAACAAATATGGAAAGGGCTAGGTTGGAAAAAGTTCAGTAAATCCCTCAGCAGGTCCAAAGAGTACAGACTTTAGGTTTACTTGAAGCCACAGTTGCATTGTTGTGCTTTTGTTCTGTGATTATGGTATATAATGTCTTCCAAAACATGCAGAATGCCTAATTATCCTCTTATAAAGACAATAACAAAAACATTTCCCCATGGGAACCTTAAAAAAGACAGAAAAACAATTTAAAACAATATAGTTTATTGTCACTGAATTATATATATTTTTAATTAGATATTTAGCTATGACATGTGATACTGCTTTTTTGTTTTTAGTGCTGCTGAGACAGTAAAAAAGTGTGTGGGTCTACTTTAGCATTTTATTATGTGTTAATCTTGTTATCTTCAGAGAAAACACAATGTAATTCAGTTGCACAAAGTTGTAATTAATTTCAAAAATATGTAAATGAGGCATGACCATTATTTTTTGCATACCATTAGGCAGCAGATGGCTTTCTCTTCGTTGTTGGTTGTGACAGAGGGAAGATACTCTTTGTTTCAGAATCAGTCTTCAAAATCCTCAATTATAGTCAGGTATTTTTTATTTATTTATTTTTTGCTTATTTTATGATTTGGGAGAAAAACATAGAAGATGAAGCAGAAATAATATATTTGAAAAAAATCAGAAATGGAAAATATTGTTGAACTAGTCACTATGGTGGGATGGAAGGTCTATCTATCTATCTGGAGAAATGTTGAAAGTTATAGTTTAGCAACATTTGGAATATGACTCTAAATTTAATGGTGCATATAATCAAATATGTGCTTAAAGAATCATGATTATCTCTATTTTATGGTTGAAAGGACTTTTAGCAAACTTAAGACTAGGTTGTTCTTCAGATGCTTCCCTTTGGTTGATTATTAGTTGCTTGGCTTTTGATTTTTTGTTGATGTCATTTTTTGTCAGCTGTCTTTTCTTCTTGATATATTCTGTTTTCTTTTCATCACTATGGCCCTCAAATTTGAAAGAATAAAAATCAGGTAAATAAATCAGCCTATTGTTGGTACGAAATATATTAAGCAATCGTATTTTATTTTCCCACTACTTTGAATATCAATAAACAGTGAAATCAATGCTTTTCTTTGCTGAAAGCTTCATAGCCGATTATAATGACTTTACTAGTTGTATGTATTTTCTATTGATAGAATGATCTGATTGGCCAAAGCCTGTTTGATTACCTGCATCCTAAAGATATTGCCAAAGTTAAGGAACAACTCTCTTCTTCAGATACTGCCCCAAGGGAAAGGCTCATAGATGCAAAAAGTGAGTACTTGAGGAGTTTATCCAACTTTTATTTTTATTTTCTTTTGGAATAGCTAAGAATAAAATGCTTTATAACAGTAAATATCTATTTTAAAAAAAAACACCAGAGAATTACAAAAGACTGTATATGGTCATTTAATATATCAATATTATATTATACTACCTATAGTTTTTGAGTTGATATTTGTTATCGGATGTGTGGTTGATCTAACTGAAACTTCTATCACCCCCTTGATCACCAGGATTTACTTGACTATTCTGGCTGGCTAGGAGGATCTCCCCTTCCTCTCTCACTGCTCCATGTGTGTCCCTCCCACTGTGCTCTTGATGAGAGATCCAAGCAATCTCGAATAAGAAGAGGGTTCAATTTTTTTAGTCAAGCCTGTTTGAGAGCTGTGCTGCCCAGCTAGAACCGTCAGACAAGCTTAAAGCTTGGATGAGACAAACTCAACAGTTTGGAATTAATGCTTTTTCTCTCCATGCAGCTGGACTTCCAGTCAAAACAGATATTACACCTGGGCCATCACGACTGTGTTCTGGAGCAAGACGGTCATTCTTTTGTAGGATGAAATGCAACAGACCTTCAGTGAAAGTAGAAGACAAAGACTTTCCTTCCACCTGTTCTAAAAAGAAAGGTATTATGAAGATTTAACTAGCATTAGGTGATGCAAAGTTGTATACAAAGTAGGATAAAAAGCTATTTTTTACAGTCCAGACAACAACTTTTCAGACCACTGAATTCAGCAAAATCAAAATTGTTTGGTGTTATATAGAAAATGGGAATTAACTTCTTGTTGTGATTTATGCAAGCCTGCATATTGAATGAAGAAAAGTTCTTGGGAAAAATGCTTTTCCTTAGTGTCCTAGGAAAACATCTTTCAAATGATATTTATTAAGAGTAAAATACCAACTTAACTAAAAATTTAAAAACAGAATATAACTATAACTCTGTAATGTTTATTTGAGTGGCAAGATAATAAGTTTTCCTTGCTGATCTGGTTTAAAAAAACATTAGGTTTATGAATAGAACTTAAAATTACCTCAGTTTAAATAAATCCACACACTGAATTTAAGAATAGATATAACTTGTAATTTGTTTTTTAAGTAAAATAATGTCAATTAAAACACAAAATGCAAAGCAAGTGGAAATGATATAGAAATAGGATTCAATTTAAAGTATATGGAATACAAAGCCCGTTACTACATCTTCATTATAGAGAATGATGAAGAGATAGGTTTTCAACAGGCATCTAAAAATATTGCTGTTGGTAACACACAATCATGTAGGGAATGCTTTCCAAAGTGAAGGCAGTATGCTGAGAATGCCTGATAACAAATAATGAGAATATGACATTATGTGGTTCTGGACACAGTCAAGAAGTCCTCCCCATTCAATTTTAGCAATTGATTTCCTAGGGCAATCAGTCAACTATCATGGTTTATTCCTGGCTTCAGAACAATATAGCATGTCTGTGGCTACCGAATCAAGGGCAGTGCTGATTACATTTTATTTTGTTTGTATCTATCTTTCTGGTGCCTTCGACTTAGTGTTGACTTTTGGTGACTGCCTGAACTAGTTCCTGCAATTTTCGTAGCAAGATTCTCTTCCTATAGACTCTATCTTTGTCTCCAGTTGCTGGCCTACAACATTGCAGTTTCTCTTGATTCCAATCTGTAGTTGTTTGCTTATTTATTTAACTTTATTTTGTTTTGTAGCAGATCGCAAAAGCTTTTGCACCATCCACAGCACAGGATATTTAAAAAGCTGGCCACCAACAAAAATGGGACTAGATGAAGACAACGAGCCTGATAATGAAGGCTGTAACTTAAGTTGCCTTGTTGCAATTGGACGTTTGCATCCTCACGTAGTTCCTCAACCATTAAATGGAGAAATCAGGGTTAAGCCAACAGAATATGTTTCTCGGCATGCAATTGATGGCAAATTTGTATTCGTAGATCAGAGGTAAGAACAGCATTTAATTCTTGCTTTGAGGATAATAGTTCTTATTCTTTTGAGATGGTTGGAGGTGGCTTGTTTGAAGAATGTTTGTATAATGATGAACAAATGGCAAAACACTTCAGCTCTTACAAATATAAATGAACTGAGTATCCTAATTGTTTTACTCTTTGTAACATAAAATGCAAACCTGAAAAAAATGCTTAAGGATATTGACAATTGGCTGAATGGAAATACTGACACAATCCACATTTTTTTCCTTGCTGTGCTGAAGTGAACTTTGAACTACCTACCCTTGCCCAACTCCCAACATAGCACAAGAAGCCAATGTGAGGATATAATTTCACAGAGCAGCATCAACTGACATAGGCCTGATCACAGGAGTCACAAGAGGTCTCTGCCTAGAGATACAAGTACACAGTCCTCAATTGGATTGTAAAAATACACTTGATAGATTTTTTTAAAAAATGGTTCCTCTGATATCTGTTGCTCTATAATTATGTAGGAGGGAGTAAAAGGTTCTATGAATGAGCTTATTTTACTTTTCTAAAGGGGCAAGCAGAGGAAATTAAACAAAATGCAGGGGGCTACTGAATGTGTTCAGTATCAGCTATAATTAATTTTCAATAGTTATATTAAGCCAACCAATAGCTGTACTAAGCCAATGCCAGATGTATTGCTGAGAGCATTGGAACTGGTATTTTATGTATCTATAAAAATGCAAAATAAAAATATATGTCAGTATATGCAACCTAACTCTAGATTGGCAGAAGTTGAGGTTATTTTGCAGAAAGGTGTGTGTGTGTGTGTGTGTGTGTGTGTGTGTGTGTGTGTGTGTGTATTTGGAGGGAAGATAATTTAAAACCTCACTGACAAGAACCCTTATTTCAAAAGTCTCCAAAAATTAATTACAATAGGTTGTAATCATTCAGGCTGAAATTCTGAGCTCTTTCTCTGAGAACTTCTCTTTCCAATGCAGCCATGAGGGGGAAAAGTAGAGGGGAAGATGTTTTGGATTGTCCTACCAAAAATTCAGAAAATACAAAACACAAGGGATAGCTATGAATAACTATGCTGCATTCTCATGAGGAAGCTTTTAATTAGCATTATTTTTATTAAAACCAATGAAATTCCAGTGTTAAACCAATCCACAATAAATAAAGTTTTATTGAGGTAAAGGGAGCAGAGGAGAACGAAAGAAAGTAACATTCTCCTGTAGTTCTGGTGGGAGGGGCTACAGCAGGGTTTGATACAGCCTGATTGGTCCACAGACTGAGGGATTTTTCTTTAACATCTCTTCTTTTCCCACCTGGCTTCCAGTTTCCCTCAGTCTTTTGGTCCAATCACTTGGCTCCAAGCAAGGTTTAGTTGTCTAGAGTGGAATTAGAATACATTGAAATTAAATTGAATTGATTAGATTAAATTGGACACAGTAAAATTCTGAAATTTTGGTTTATTGACTTGGCGCTCAGCTAGAGGGGGAAGTGGGTCTCCCGGGAGACCGAGGTGTGCCTCGCGGCTCCGCAACCTCCGGAGGGGGTTGTTTCCCTCCATGCTAAGCGGAGGCCGTTTCCCAGCATTCTTGGATCATCTGCGGCTCAAGCGCAGCGCCCAGCAGCAATCTGCAGTGCAGCAGCAGCTGCCAACCAGCCCAGCAGTTCGGAAAAGTGTGGGCGGCGCGAGGAACGCGCGCCGCCTTTTATTTTCAGCGTCGGGGCCTATGGAGCCCGGGAGAAGCCGAGAGAAGTGTCTCTGTGAGGTGTGGCCTCAGAACGCCCATGAGTTCTGAGGGTCAGAGGACGAAGGCTCGTCGCAAGGCTAACCCCTCAGAGCCATTAATCCGCAGGCCTAATCATCCCCATGAGGCGCAGCGGCCATTTTGGAACAACCTTGTGGGCCTGAAAATTACCTGCGCTTCCTGCAGAGCCACATCAAGTGAGGTCTCCATGCAACAAAGAGGCACAGAGGCCTGAAGACACGTGAGTGAGACATGGCCTCAACAAATCCTGAAAGAGTCCAAGGGAATCTGGTAGAGGAGGCCCAGGGCGGGCTTAGGTCCAGAGCAGCGGCCTCCAGGCCCACAGCCAACCAATGCCCTTCGAGGGCTACAACCAGGGATGAATCTAGAAGAAGAAGGCCCTGGAGAAGCAGCTGGCCAGGGCAGAGAGATTGGCTCAGGTCTCTAGGCCTGAATCCCCCAGCAGATCCAGATCTCCCATCGAAGCCAGGTCCCAAGCTTCTGGTTCCCCCACCAGGGGTTCAGCCCCTCCTCTCCCTCCATCTCCCCTGCCAGGAACCGAAGGGAGGTGACTTCCCCTTCTCCCTCCATCTCGCACAGAGCTTATAGGCGGAGGCTGGAGGATCCGGGGGAGGGGGGATCCCGAGACTTCTTACCAGCTTCACAACTGGCTCCCCGGGGACCTCCCTCACGTTGCCCATCAGATGAGGAGCTAGAGGACCTGGATCAGTTACCAGATAGTATCAGGAGGCTCATTTCTGTTGCAATATCGAGGGGCATTTCCTCGGGCCTGGCTCAGAGAGATAACATCCATGGGGCATCTAGACCTACAGCAGAGGCCAGGTGGAGGTCCTTCTCTTCCACCAGCGGACACGAGATTGCTAGGCCGCCCTCCCCCTCAGTGGTCAGCGAGGGATCCATCTTGGGGGAGGCCACACACCCAGACCTGGGGTTCTCAGAGGACGAAGATGCAGCCCCTTCTGAACCCCTGCCTTTCTTTCCTCCCCCTGCCTTTAGATACGATAGGCAGATCCAGCGGCCATTCTGCCAGGATAGGAATAGATGCGAGGGTCAGCTCAAGAGTCCCTTTCGCTGGGGCG